GGGCTTTTCAAAAATGTATAATTTGTCATTTTTTGGACAAATTTTTTTTTGCAAACATTTTTACTATAAAACTGGATTTTGCGATAAAAAATTCAATTTTTGCAAATTTGCAAATTTTTTTGCAGATTCTAAAAGTAGAGCACAAGAGCTTTCCAATGATGTATCATTTGTCATATTTGGACATCAAACATGGGATTTAGAGGGGGGTCAAATTGACCCCCCCCCCCAGCATATCCTGGTTTTCAAGTACCCCAGCAGAGATAGGGTTAACATATTTGCCTCAAATTTTTAATGAGGAACTCAGTAGCACAACGTGAATGGTCTTTGCTTTGTTTTTAGATTCTAAGTTGAGCGATTCTGCTTCTATATGGAAAAATGGGTAAACTCTTAATTTACGACAACGCGCGGGTAAACGGTGGGACTATATATGACTACCCTGGGCAACGTTGGGTTTCCAAGCTTGTCTAATATGAGATAGATGTTAAATGTATATATTATTTTTGTTGTTTACTTTAAACTATATGTTTATTTATGTTTGAAAAAAGTTTTGGTTTATAAATATTTACAGGGTTGAGAGACTGGGAGTAAACAGCAACCAGTCACGTTTTCTAAACTACACTTTTCGTACTTTATATCTTCTTATCTACTTTATATAAAGCTGCTTGTATGTTGATCATAACTCAGGAACCCCTTCACTAATTTGCCTCAAATGTTTACTGAGGAACTCGGTAGAACAACGGCAATGTTTAAAAGGCCTAAGTTGAATTGGTTTACTAACTTTGCTTCCAAGCGAAGCTGGGTTCCCAAGCTAGTAAGACAATATTTTTTACATAAAATTAGTAATCTTTGTTTGTTTGTTTGTATGTCCGATCATAACTCATGACCCCCTAACCGATTTGCCTCAAATTTTGATTGGGGATCTCGGTAAGCCACGGGAATGTACTATAGCTAGGTTTAAAAGGTCTGAGTTGAATCTTAATTAGGAAAACAAATTTGTTTTCAATCAAAGCTGGGTTCCCGAGCCAAGTAAGACAATATTTTTACATAAAAAGACCCAATTTTCTGAAATAAAAATGAAGTAAGATGCAATTAAAACAATGCAATTAAAACAATGCAATTTAAACAATGCAATTTAAACAATGCAATTAAAACAATGCAATTAAAACAATGCAATTAAAACAGTGCAATTAAATCAATGCAATTAAAACAATGCAATTAAAACAATGCAATCAAAACTAAAGAATCAATACTTTTTTATGTTAGAAACTCTATATTTTTTTCATTTGTGCCAGAATCCCCCCCCCCCCAACTCCCATTTTTAGTTTTCTATTTACAGTTGAAGGGTTGAATTACATTTGTCTATAAAATGAAAGTGCAGTGGATTGTAAACAAAGCAATTGTTAGAGAAATCAATTTATATTTTTTTTATATATTCAATCCCGCTTCTTTTATTTAGATTGAAAATGTTCAAATGGTTTACTGTGATCTTGACGTTTGTAGCCTGGTTGGTGTCGGTCGACTCTACACTTGGTAGTCCAGACTGGATAGTACCACTGAATGCGTATACTGTACATGTTGTACCGGATCGGATCTTGCAAAGTTTAGAGTGATGTGGTGTGTTCAGGGGGAGTTAGGAAGATGACTGTTAGCTGGACCCAGATCATTCAAGATGGTGATATTCAAGTAACTTGTAAACCTCTTTTATAACAACATTATATATATATGTATAATTTTTTAAAATCTTAAATGTCGTCTTCTTATTCCAAAATTTGACGAAGTCTTGTAAAGAAAGACCATTGTGGTTTAGATTGGAAATTTTTGAGAACATTTAAATATTTTCATAGTTTAAATTCTAATTTTCCCCCTCCAAATTCTGATTTTCTCCCCCCCCCCAAAATTCTGTTTTCCCCCTCCAAATTCTGATTTTCGCATCCATATTCTAATTTTCTCCCTCCAAATTCTAATCTTCCCCTCCAAAATATTCTAATTTACTCCCTTCCAAATTATCCTGATTTTATCGTTAATTCTTCAATGCTCTGGATTTTCCATTTTCAATCTGTCAATAAAGCCATATTATAAACAAAATATTTCAGTCAAATATTGTGAATGCTAAGTGCATATTCGTAAAAAGGAAAATGTATTTTGGGTGAAAGGAAACATGTTTCAGCTGAACCACCAGGAAAAATCGAATTTTTTATTCAAATGAAAAATCAGCGGTTGTCAAAATTTATGAACAGAGAGCAGTTGTAGGTTAGCAGGTAAAGAAATAATTCTACTTTGACAAGTTTAAGCTAGACTTGGCATGAAAAGATGAATAAAATGATTAGAATGAATAGAATGAATAAAATGAATAGAATGAATAAAATATATAGAATAAATAAAATGAAAGAATGAACAAAATAAATCTATCTATCTATCTATCTATCTATCTATCTATCTATCTATCTATCTATCTATCTATCTATCTATCCATCTATATATCTATTTATCTTTCTATTTATCTATATATCTACCTATTCATGCCTCTGTATTCTATTCAAGTCTGTTCTAGATAAATCACCAACATCTTAACTTTTCACACAAGATATATAAAGCTTTCACCGTAGTCTAAACCTGAACCTAAACCTAAACCTTAACCTAAACCTACACCTAAAACTAAAACTAAACCTAAGCCTGGACTTAAACCTAACCTTAAACTTAAATCTGAACCTAAATTTAACCTAAATTTGGACCTACAGCAGTTCTGAACCTGAAGTTCTAAAACTAAACATAATCATAAACCTATACATAAACCTATGTAAGCTGGGTTCTTGTCGCCTATAAGTCGGCCTGGTACTTTAATAATCCAAAGTTTGCCTTGTAAACCAAACCCTGAGAATTAACGCTTAACATGCCTAATTTAAAGGGGTTTCTCGTTAAACCTCTCATTCTCCTCAATTATTGAAAACTTTTCCTTTAAAGATTAAATCCTTAATATAAAAGCTGTAAAGTTACCCTAGTGCATAGTTTTAAATTCATCTAACTTTAATGAAATATATTTTATATGATCAATAAACCTATCATAAAATGTTCTTAAAATACCTTAACGATTATTATACAACCTTAAGTCTCTTCCACTTAGGTTTTCCGGCGAAAATTTAGCATTTTTCAAGAAAAAGTTTGCTAATTTCTACAGAAAATTTTCGCGAAATTTTACACTTTTTCGCGAAAGTTTTCTTTCGCTGGAAACCCTACTTACATGTTAAGATTGCGGGATGGAAATTATCAAACCGGGGAAGTTATGAAAAATATATATCAGAATTAAGCGCGCCCCCCCCCTTAAATTTAAACCTGAAATTTAAAATTACGTCTGCTACCACCGTTTCTTTAATGTTGCATTAATCTAATCAGCTTACCCAGGAAACCAAAAAACGTTCAATAGTTGTACATTTAAAAAATCATCAATAAAAATGAAAAAATTAAATTAAATTAAAATTGCAGCTTTATAGTTTTTAACGCTAAATAAATACAAAATTAAGTTTTTGTTAAAGAAAATGTTTCTACCATTTTCATATTTCAAAATATTTCGGTTATAAAATTGGATTATGAATTTTGACTAAATACAAATTAGGCTCAAACATATTTCTGAGAATTTCTGGAAAAGTTTTTCCAGAAATTAATTATTTTTGTATAATATACTGGGATCTACACAATTTTGAAATTCAAATTGGGCCATCTTAGAAATGTCATCAGGGCATCTCCCAATTTTATTTATATCTTACCCACACTTTTGCACTTTTCTGTAGCCTTGTTCATCTTAAAGCATTGTTTTCAAGTTTACATATTGTAATCAATTTTAGATCAGAAATTCTAAATTTTTATTTAATTTAATATTGATATGTTTATCAGACATTGCTTTTAAAAACCCAATTTTAAACAATTCACAACAATTTTAAGTTGATTAAAACTCTTGTTAAATATTTGTTGTCTCACCTCTGAATAGTCAGGATTTCCTCGTGTACAGATTACAGACTGAGACAGTGTCTTCCACTGAATATAAACAAGGAGAATTGAATACAAGGAGGGGCAATAGGGTTTCCGTGCACTTTGCTGTGACGTTTTTGGACTGCTGGAGAACTAGTTTTTGCGTAACAACAATAATAAAGATTGTAAACAATAACACAAATGATAAACAGACATTTGGTGTATCTCTGGCGTTAGATGAAGATTCACCGTATACTAACTCATGTTTGTTTACATTAGATCGGCTGCCTTTATTATTGTTGTTACGCAAAAACTAGTTCTCCAGCAGCCAAAAAACGTCACAGTAAAGTGTACGGAAACCCTATTGCCCCCTCCTTGTATTCAATTCTCCTTAAATATAAATATAGATAGTATACAATACATTGCTCATTTTACATGTCATAGACTGATACTGTGTTAGTTAGCGTCATTGTGAATATCAATACAATGAAGACATCTTTCTATTTCCATTTTTGATTTCTACCAAGCACAGCGCTTTCAAAAAGTATGGATACACATAAAGATGAAAAAAGCTTCTTTTTGATTACTTGTAAATTTTTGATTTGAAAAATCTTGTTGAAAACAAACTATAATAGAAAAGTCGTCTTGATTGTATTGATATACATGTTGATCACTGTGCAATAAAAGATAATTCTTTAAAAATCCATGTTTAGAGGACTAAGGTATGTGGATGTTAGTTACAGATGGCCAAACCCCATGGACCAAATTGACTACAATTTTTGGGGGGAACCCATGAGTACCCCGAAGTAACATGGGCTACAAAAACAGATTTTTTTCTTTCAAATTAAATTTTTTTGCAGTGTTTTTAAAATTCCACACTTTGCACTTCAGCCTTTAGTTTCTTAGATAAGAGTACAGTGTAAAATTTAAGAATTGTACGCACTGTTAGTAAAAAAGTAATGTTTCTCTAAAAAAGGAAACAAATGTATCATTTATCGGGATTCAATGATAAACCCTTGGGCTACGCCCTCGGGGTTATCATTGAATTCCTCGGGGGTTTAAATTTCCATTGATTCTAATTTGTATGAGAGTAAATGACATTTCTTTTTAAAGAGGGGATTCAATGATAAACCCGAGGGCTTGCGGATTTTGCGGATTTTTTTTTGCCTTTGTAGATTTTCAAAGTATCTTTCAATGAAAATATCCCGGCGGGATTAAATGAAAATTGTTGCATACCAAAAAACCAGCTTTTTATAAAGGAATGTTAATGTATCCTCCGACCGTAGGGTTTCAAGTTTTGATCCAGTTTTGGGCATGTTCCTTTTACCTTGTTCTCTGGACTGTTCTTGATGGTGGCCATCAGCTCATGTCTCAGGGTCTCCAGCTGGTTCATACCCAACCTAGGGACTACATCCTTACCTATAAGAAATACATAAATAAACAAATAGTATAGGTTAGTAATATTATTCTTCTTCTTTAATTATTTAATCAAAAACAGGGTTTTGTTTTTGAACAAACATTTTTGCAAAATTGGCTGGTAGGCTTAACTCCTTACTTATAATATATTTATCTCTATATTTACAAACACTAGCCACCTTATATATTTTAATAAAAGATTGAAGTTTCAATAGAAGACAATCATAACAACAATAATCATAATAATAATACCTACCCACAACAACACTTGTTATAAACTCTTTACTGGCCAGCATAGCTTGCTCACTAAAAATAAATTTTAATATTATTCTTATTTATTTTAAAGTCTAAAACTTTGTAGAACTTCTTAGGTAACATAGTTACCTAAGATAAGAAGTCCACCTGGTCGTAATAACCTGTAGCATAGTTACCTAAGATATCCACCTGGTCGTAATAATGTGTAACATAGTTACCTAAGAAGTCCACCTGGTGGTGATAACATGTAACACAGTTACCTGAGAAGTCCACCTGGTCATGATAACGTGTAGCATTGTTACCTAAGAAGTCCACTTGGTAGTGAAAACTTGTAGCATTGTTACCTAAGAAGGCCACCTGGTGGTGGTAACATGTAACATAGTTACCTAAGAAGGCCACCTGGTGGTGGTAACGTGTAACATAGTTAGCTAAGAAGTTCACCTGGTCATGATAACATGTAATATAGTTACCTAAGAAGGCCACCTGGTGGTGGTAACGTGTAACATAGTTAGCTAAAAAGTTCACCAGGTCGTGATAACATGTAATATAGTTACCTAAGAAGGCCACCTGGTGGTGGTAACATGTAACATAGTTAGCTAAGAAGGCCACCTGGTGGTGGTAACATGTAACATAGTTAGCTAAGAAGTTCACCTGGTCGTGATAACATGTAATATAGTTACCTAAGAAGTCCACCTGGTGGTGGTAACATGTAATATAGTTACCTAAGAAGTCCACCTGGTGGTGAAAATGCAAAACAAGTAATGTTTGGGAATTCTTGTTTAAGTAGAATAGCAAGTATGGCTGCTGTACCACCACCAAGAGAATGCCCGACGCAAACCTGAAATTTAAAAAAAATGATTTTAAAGCCATTTTAAAAAGAATTTAAAGGTAGATAATAGATATACGTTTATTGGAGATGGAAAGGAATTGAGTCTTCGCCACAAACTCTGATTTTCTAACTTCTATATCTTTGCCTTTCAATGTCGTAGACCTTTGATATTTTAAACTATTATTTCTGCTGGAGCTTATAATCTAAGTTTGAAATATTTAAGATTTACACCATCAGGTTCGCTAGATATAGGGATTGGAAAATTTCAGTTTGTTGCAAAGACTCAATTCCTTTATAAATACTCCCCCCTTCACATAAAAGAGTTTATCCCGGAAACAAATGATGTCTCTCTGGGTCTGAGTTTCTCTTTGATTTCCTGAAACCCGGTGAAACCCTGCCATGTCATTAATAAAACCTGGAATTCAACAGAATCAAAAGATCATAAAACTAAACAGAATTCAAGGGAAAATTGGCTTCACTCACAATACAGGATTTTCTTAGAATTTAAAGCTGCAAACAATCACAAGATAGTTCTTATGGTAAACTAAACTCAAGAAACTATTATTTTTAAATAAAAATATTTTTAAACAAAATTTAAAAAGAGCAGTGAATTTTTTTTCTCTGACTTTTGAATCTTCTATTTATCTGATCATACATCTGTTTAGTTTCTTCTCTTTTAGATCTAAACATTCTAGTCTCTTGAAGACAAGGGAAAAATGCATTTGACACATATTTCTGATTAATACTATTCTTTAATTTGATATCTTGGCTGTATTTACAGTTTTCAGTAATGTCTGACTCAACAACTGTTGAAGTTTAGCTTCAAAACACAATTTACTCAATATTCTTACAGGTTGGAAAAATAAAAATCAAACTGCACTAAGGGGGGTTTTCTGAGGATATCTTTTGTCAGAATTCTGCCTTAACAATTAAACTTTTATGTACATTCATAATAAATAATAAAATTCAAATAAATAATTTATGGTATTGTATCTATACAACTTGTTTCATGCTTTTGTAATCTTCAGGATACTAAAGCAAAGTTTTCTGCAAGGAGATGGAGCATTTTTTATATTTAGATTACAGGGTGTCCAAAAAACGAAGAGTATTCTCAAAATTTAAGTCATTTTCCTACGCAATGAGTGTAAAATATTGCATGACTAAAAATAATAATTCTATGGGCTACTAAGTTTTAAACCATTTCCATAAATGAGATATGATGTTGTTAATGGCAAAGCCAATAATTGACTCCAAGTACGAAAGGGTGAATAAAGCTTACCAATGGGAATGATCTTGTCCCCGACTCTGTTCTCCAATTAAAAGCCTTCTCCAACAAGTTTTCATCCATTAATTTCTTGTAAATATAATCAGCTGCTTGAACCATGCCCTAAATATGGAAAAGCATAGTTGCTTTCTTATGATATATTATATTACAAAAACCTTTGCAAGGCCACTTTAAGCAACCTAAAGGTAAAACTTGTGGTATCTGAACCTTGTTACTTCATGTGCTTAGACAGTCAATTTTTGACGGATTAAACTTTGGAAACCTCAATGGTGTCAGAGATAGACAACTTTCCTTCGATTGGCATAACATCAAAATAAAAAATCCGTAGATCGAAAATGGCAAGAATTAGGATATGATAAATTAATGAATGGACTAATAATATATCATTTACCTTGTGTCCTTTAAAATCTTCGTTAACTGGCTTTAAGGGTAGAATTTCAGATTCTGCATTCAGATCAGTAATTATATCCTTGAATCAAAACAAAAATCATAATATTAATGAAAATTATAATGAAGATAATATAAATAATAATAATGATATATAATTTTTAACACTAAAATAATTAAATGAGTGTGTAAATTTTAGAATTTGAAAAATTTATTTTAAATGTTTTTTAATATTTTGTGTAAAACTCATAAACATATCTCAACATAAATATAATAAAGCCCTTCTCTTCTATAAATATGCTTTGCTTGTCTGGGTGTTGATGAAACCCTTGAGCTACAAAAACTAAAGAAAAAATTTTTTTTTTTAAATCTAAACTTTATCTTTAAAAAATTCCACAGACAATGCTGGGCACATTATATTAATTCATAAAATTAGAATAAGATTTTTGCTTGATATTGACTAATTATTCTGGAAAAAATCCAACACCAATAAATCTGAAATAGTTTATCATCTCTATTTGTATAAAAGTTCTAAGTTCAATGAGAAAAGTTTCTTACATTAATTTCAAACTCAGGTAATTTATTCCACTGCAGTGTGGAATATTATATAAAGTAGAAAATGTTTTTTGATGACTGAAAATTCTTCAAGTTATGTTCATAAAAACAATATAATAAATGATGCTTAATGAATCAAGAACAAAATTACAAAAGCAAATAAGACAGAAATAAATTTGTTAAACCCTTTAGTTTCTAGTGACACATTATGGCTGGCATTGACTGTGACATAAATTCAGAAATTTAAAAGGTACTGTTGTGAATCACACATGCTACTCTATTAATGAAGGAGGTCCCTTGAAGTTATGTCTTCAGCCCCTTTCATAATTTCTACCTGCATGGACAAAGTTCCACGAATGCTGATGACAATTCGAGCCTTGTCAAAGTCGACTCCAATAAAGAATGGAGTCTCTCCGACATCGACATGATAAGTTGCATATACGATCTCTGTCGAATCCAGATGACAGACCTAAACATGTGAAATGTGCAACAGACTCATACAAAAATGTTAAAATTTAATCAGGGCAGTCCAGTTACACAATAAAAAGAACCAACAACTCAAAATAATAAATTTTCAGTAAAAAAAAAAAAAATCTTGACGTATTTTTATCAGACATCGGTTTAAAGGGAAAAACCTTTGAGAATCAGATGTAGAAGGAGGATCACCTGAAATTAAGTCTACTTTCCCTTTAATCCAAGAATTGTCAATAATCAATGTCCATTAGTAATTTGACCAGGTAAAGCAATAATTTAAACAATATTTAATCAATGATTTGATTTTGTAAATCAATAGTTTGACATTGTAAATCCATGATTTTATATTTGCAAATCAATGATTTCATGTGGTAAATCAATGATTTGATATAGGGAATAATGGTTTGATGTAGGGAATCAATAATTTGATGTAGGGAATAATGATTTGATGTAGGGAATCAATGATTTGATGTAGAAAATCAATGATTTCATGTTGTAAGTCAATAATTTGATGTAGGGAATCTATTATTTGACGTGATAAATCGATGAATATAAAGATTGACCTGTTTAAGGGCTGCATAATTGCATAGACAACAATTATCCTCCAGGATTACTGAGTTTACATCTACTTTATGATTGCAGCAGCTCATGCAGCAACAGCTAGAAGAAAATAATATTTTAGAAGGGTCGGAAATATTAATATAATAACAATAAAGAAATTTAATCTAGAAGCTTTAAAATAATATAAAGCTCTATCACAATATTGCTTGATTTTAAATAAATAAATATACCACCTTCTTTTATCATCATTTAAAACAATTTTATTTTGCTCTGACAGTTAGATAGATAGAAACCCAGACAGCAATTGATTTTGTGCCGTATTATATGCTGAGCCCGCGATTTAAAAAATTTGGGAAACACGGCTCGAGTCTAAGCTATCGTTGGGCCTTATTTATGGTTTGAGCTTTCGGATTAAAGCTGCATCTTATTTTTCACAGATTTAAGTTCAAATAATTTTTAATATTCAATTTGGTGGATTTTCATGGCAGGACACAGAGCTGTCATCAGAGTTAGGTCAAAGATTGAGTCTTAAAGTCGGGTTTAAGGAATTACGGCTCGAGCCGAAGTTTTTAAATCCCATGCTCAGGATGCATGGTTGCAGAAATAAATATTTTGAACTGTACCTCAGACTTGAACATAGCCTCCACGCGGCCTTGTGTACCGGTACAGTTTTATTGTGTAGCAAGTACATAGGCCAGCCATAAGCCGCCAGGGCAAAGTGCATGTAATGTACAGTTTCTCTGTACAAAATACGGATGTAGATATTATTTAACTTTTTAGTATTCTTATATTTTATATTGATTTCATGAAGTTGTTTAAATCCATAAGTAAAAAAGATATTTTATAAAAAATTTATGATTCTTATATTTATATTGACTTCAACACTTTTTATTCTAAAAATGGAAAAAGATTGTATCACACAATTTTTCTACCTTTAATATCATGCGAATTAAAAAAACATTGACACCTCTCATGTACAATGTACAGTGTACATAAATATTCCATTATTATCAATGTACCATGGATAACATATATAATACATTTAATTTACATATCCAGTAGTCAAATATAATCATTACCACAAAAACATGTGTTAAAGATTTTGAGTTTATTATAATGGTTTGATTTTTTAGGACTAAATTCTATAAAATGTGTAAAATTCGAAGGCATTAATATAAATATATTTTAAAAAAATTTGTTTATTCTATCTAGCAATTCCTTTCTTAGTCGATCTCTATATTCAACAGTAAAAATCGCTTATATTGAGGCCAAATAAGCAACTTTTTGTTGAGTATAAGCAATTTTTCTATTTCGTAATTTAGAGTTAACGTGTAGCTTTGTCTGACAAAGAATCAAAAGGTGTCATTGCGAATGACCCGAGGGAAGGTTCAAAAATGATCAAAATTTCAAAAATTTGTGTTTAAAATTTTTTTATTTTTGGAAAATTTAAAAAATGTGCGAAAAAATATTATGAAATCCGCAATTTTTTTGAAAGTTATTTTTTACAAAGAGAAGATGCTCGCAGAAAAAGCCACAATTAAAAGTTGATGTAGAAGATGGGCGCGAAGAGCCCTAAAAGCCTAGTATATATTTGTATATCCTGTATCCCTGAGTTTATCCAATTCTTGAGGATTGTTGAGCGCCACGAATTGTGTGTCTGGAGTGACTTTAACGCCTGACAGGAAATCGTAGACGTTGTTTGTCGGCTAAAAATAAAAATTAGAAAACAAAAGTTACGTTGAATCAGAGTAAATCTAATCACGTTAGATTGAAATCTTATTTACTTTCAATCATAATTAGTCTTATTGAGCCTAATAAACATGCTTAGAATTACTCATATGTAATCAAAAAACCTTGTTTTTCTCAAACCTGTAAAATTAAAAATACTGGAATAAGAAGACGAAATTCAAGCAATCTTCTTGGTTTTCTATGTTTAACCAATAGCATGAAAATTGAGGAAAAAGTGAAACCTAAATTATAAATAATTTTTTGGGGTTTAAAAAAGGATTTTTTTTACGACATCCATTTTTGATTTGGCAAAGAGTCTAGATATTTCATTCTTTTTTGGTAATTCTTTTAAAATTTACATTTAAATGCCAAATAAAGTAAATATTTAACCATTCATGACTTAGAAAGATTAAAAGTTGAAAAACAAACAAAACTGAACCAAGTCTGTTTGCTAAAAAGTATATTTATAAAATACAAGATATTTGAAATAACGTCAAAGGCTAAATACTTTATAGGTTCAGGGTTTTAAAGGAGCTTAGCCTGTGATTTGGACTACAAAAAAATATAAATAGTAGTAAATGTTTACCAAAGAATATCTCAAACTTAAATCGAAATAACGATTTTTCGTTAAGATATTTTGACAATGTACATCTAGCACAGGGTGTTAAAAAAGGCCCCTCCCCCTTTCAAATGGAACACTATTTAAGGCAATTTTTTTAGGGACCCCCTGTATACCTGAGAAATGGTTCGCTGGCGGGCAGCTTGCTGTCGTTTCCTGAGTAGTACTAGACCTACCAGGATATCCGTTGGTACCACGTCAAGATCTCTGGAGATTAAATCTTCTTATTATATTACAGTGATAACGAGAAACTCTGGAATAGGAAGACGACTTTTAGACTTAATTTATGAATTTTAATAGTCCAATGAACAGGAAATACATCAATTTTTCGATGTAAAAAGGCCCAATTCACTTTATAAGACTATTTGCTTTGTAACCACATCAAATACAATTATTTATTGCATTAATATCGTCTTCATATTCTATCGTTTTCTGGTAATCAATGTAAATGGCCAAATTTAAAAAAAATTGTTTTTTTTTTATTGATGGGACAGTTAAAAAAACACAAGAAGGACAAGGATTTTAAGGTGGCTCGGACGAAAAAATGAGGAAAATGTGGCTCGGAAGAGAATTATTGTGGCTGGTCTTATCTTCAATCGGTCAAATTGTGATCACAGCTTGATGGGATAATATTCGAAAAGTTAAATCAGCATGATATTCAAGGGGGCGGGGGTCACTATGAATGTCAACAGATTAATATCAAATGGTTCCACCTGTATAAAAAAAATACTTATATTAATGTTTACAAAGAAATAATAGAAATAAAAAAATTTGGAAAAATCAAATTAAACCATCAAAGGAAAAAAAGAAAGTTTTATTTTGTCTCCTTTTGTCGGAAGAAAAGCTTCTCAGTAAATTAAAAAGTTTTGACGTTTTTTTCCATTTATCCGTTTATCCATTTATACATTTATCAAAAAAAAAAAGAATTTCCTAAAGAATTCCGAGAGCAAGCGAGCTATATCAGTGAACGAAGTCTAAAATATAAAGAATATTAAAGGGACTGTTCGTGTGATTTCAGGTGACCCGCCATGCTAAAATGGCAATGCCCTATTCACAACAGTACCATTGAAAACTTGGTCTGATCCAAGGTTATAATGCAAGGAATGTTATTTCAGAGGTGTACGCATCTTTTGTACTGCAGTGTACTGTCTCTGGGTGGTAATGTAAACAGTCGGATGTCGAAGCCTGACATGGGATCCATCTTTCAAATAAAAAAATCAACGTAATATTCTGATCATAGGAAACTATTATGTGAATTATCAAAATTTAAGCTCCTCGGGTACCAAACGAACACTGATGCATCTATTCTTGTTTACAAATTCCGCCCAGAGAGAACTGGTTTTATTATGTTCACAGAGTATACACAACTGCAATTAACTTTCCTTGTCTTATAACTTTGGTCTGAATAAATGTTTATACTAATTATTTTGAACTGGGGGTTTCTTTACAACAGTGATTTGCGCATTTCTACTGCAGGAAAATATATAGGAATTATTAGAAATATACGCTTATAAAACTAGAAAAACGACAATATCTTCTACATTATTAATTAAATAAAGGTTTCAGGTGTACCCTTGTGAATCGCTCATTGCTATATGGGTATGAAGGGGCATTTGAACATACGCTTACAGTCCCTTTGGTATAAAAAGATTTCTAGATGTAGAATAAAAAGTATTCATAAAATAAACCCTCTTCATCATTTTTCTTCTTTATTTTCTAAATAAGCTGACTAGGATTTTAGAATTATTCATGGAAGACTATTAGTCATCATTTTCTAGCAGGCGATGAGAGGAATAGTTTTCTTTTTCCTTTTTCAACCAACAGCACAACTTTTCCTGACAAAGCATAATTTGAAAAGTTGAATCGAGAATATAAAGCTTTTCAAACATAAAAATTTTTTGTAATTTTTTTAAAAAATATTTTCATTAATAACTACTGTTACAGAGCTGAAAACTTAAGAATGGTGGATATTGAGATTAATGCTTGATCCTCTCTTTTTCTTAATATCGAGACTAACCTAATCTTGCACTTGTATCCTGAAAAGTGTATACAATTCAACCAATCAGAGTCGCGTATATGAAGCCGATAAATTTGAAATTGTGCCCGCCAATTAAGATTAATATACAGAAACGGGAGGGACGATCTAATTTCAAAAAACCGGTTTTTGATTTTTCTCTACTATATCCAAGAAAGAACGGTTAAAGAAGAAAATCAAAACTGTGTACATTGGCTACTCAGATTAAGTAATTGGGATTAAGGATATCCCATTCTAAAGTTTTCAGCTCTGGGCACTTTGCACCCAAATAATTTAAGAATAAATCTAGTTGACAAATTTCCAAATTTCACGCCTTTATAACATTTTGAATGAACAACAAAGGAACTGCGTCTTTGCCAATAACTTTTATTTTCTAATCCCTATATCGTTGCAATCTGATGGTGGAAATCTTTGATATTTCAAACTTTTCTTATTTTATGGAACAGCATTTCTGGTTTGAAATATCTAAGGTCTACGACATTGGGTTCCGAAGATACAGGGATTAGAAAACCAGAGTTTGTGGCAGAGACTCAACGGCTGATTTTTAATGTTTTCATGCGTATTTTCAAAATTCTTGAAAAATCTAAATATTTTAAAGCATTTTCAATATTTTTGTTTCTACCTGTCATAAGATTTATATTGATTTGTATAACAAATTTTAAGCTACGGATGAAAGGCATAATTGTTTTGATTATAGGGCTTCGAAAGAAGACCTTATTATATAACATATATTCTATATAAAAAACAAGATATATCCTCTATAGCCGGGAATACGGCTGGACCGAATTTGCTGACATTTTTGTGGACACTGATGGGTAGCCTGGGGGTTACATAGGCCAAAAACAATCTAATTTTAAATTTTCAAATTTTTTTTAATTAAAAAAATCGTCCAGGGTTAACGCCCGGTCCTTCAGATGTTATAACATATCATAAATAAATATGCATATACAATACACAATACACATAGATATAATGGATATACATCTAAAAAAAAACAGAGTACAACGAACTCTGTTCAAAAATTAAATCTTCCGTTAAAAAAATCACAGTAAAACAAGAAAATCTACCATTTGCATCATTTAAATTATGAACACAAAGCCTAATCTATAAAATAAACTTCTATAGCTCCCTTTTTTTATTTGAATTATATAAATATATATTATTTGTTTGTTATTATAGCTGGACATACGGCTGGACCAAATTGGCTTATATTTTTTTGGGAACCCACATAATGAAATATGAAAGTTAGTCATAAAATAAGACAGCTTCGGCTTTAAAGTGTCGCAACGCCTTGTCTTTTCAAAACTTTGCTGTTGTGCCGATGGCTTTTTAAAAATTGTTTTAAATCTATATTGTAAAACAAGACATTTGTATATATATGTATATATATATGTTGCGTATAGCCGGCCAAACGGCTGGACCGATTGGGCTGAAATTTTTTGCGGAAACTCATGGGTGGCCGGGGGGTGTTATAGGCTATAAGAAATTCAAAATTTTGTTTTTTAAAAAATTTTCAAAATATTTTTTTTAAAATTTGTTTCCACTGGCAACGCCGGGCCCTTCAGTAAGTATTATTATAAAACTCTTTACCTTGCTTTTATTATCACTGCGGGCGCAACAGAACAGAACACTGCAGCGACTATCCCAAGCGATTTGATTTGCACGTTGCACTTTTCTAAAAAGATAAAGAAATATTTAAACAAATTAGAAACTTATATTTACTTACATTTATCATTTCTCAAGTTCCAGATTTTCTCAGTTTACTTTTTTAGTTTTGTGTGTTGACCATGAAATAACTTGATTTGTTGTTTCAGAGAAAAGTCCTGTAAACAATGGCGAAACATTTTTAATTTTTCTTTTTCAACTTTATTTTCGAAATGTTGCCCCTTGATATTTAAGGAATCATCGAACCTGTTCTAAACTTATTCATAGGTGTTGAGAGAAAATTGAGATTTTTGCAAGGAAACTCCACGAAGTAAATATTATAATCTGGAGATAGTGGCTGGAGATATCTCAGGGGATTCTAGGTTTTCTTTAATCTTGAATAGAGGCTAACCTGTATATATATATACTTTGCTTGTCTGTCTGTTTGTTTGTATCCAAAAAACGTCAAAACGGCTGAACCGATCGGGCCCAAATTATTTGTGGGATTTCTAATGTATTTAAATTTAAATGAAAATTTATGAATTTATGAATTTAAATTTGAATGAATTGAGTCATTGCCAGAGACTCAGATTTGTTAATCCCTTTATCTCTACAACCCAATGTTGAAGACCCTAGATATTTCAAACTATGAATTCTGATGGATCAAATAATCAAAGTTTGAAATATCAAAGGGTTACGACAACTGGTTTTAGAGATATAGGTGTTAGAAAATTGGGATTTGTGGAAAAGACTCAATTCCTTTATGGATGATCTAAATATCAAAATTTAGCGTAGAACAATGTTCGATTTCATTTTTTTATCTGCGAACTTTTTTTGTTATTTTTTAAAAAGAGAAAATTTTCAAAATTGAAATAGAAGAACGGCGCGAAGCGCCTGGAATGCCTGGTATTTTGTACAAGACTAAGCTTATACAAAGGAACAAATTTATCGCGCGCCTCATATTCGCATTGAAAAGTTTCAAGATCAAAAAAAGTGCCCGTCATTCATCAGGTTGAAAAATTATAAAATCAGTAAAAAAAAATACAAAGATGAACATTGGACATATCATAGACAAGACAGACATTGCAGAAAACATTGCATGAATAAGGTAAGTTTTTTTCAAATTAATTTTATTTTAATAATCTGGAAAGATAACACAAAAACAAATAATAAGAAAATATCAGAATGTTACGAAAAAACAGCAATTGACACTTACGGAGTTATCTTTTTTACTTTTTCATTTAAAACGCATCCGCCAAAAAAAAGCAAAAAGAGACATTTTTTTAAAATCATCTTTTGAAAAGCATAAAAGAGCTCAGTTTAATCAAATTATTCCATCCTAAAATACACTGTCAGAATGCTAACATAAAAAATTCATTTCAACTTAGTCATTTGAGCAAGTGTTCACTGTAAATTTTTTATTTTTCAAATTTTGAAAATATCACCTATTTAGGAAAATGTATTTCAACCAAATTTTCCACTCCAATTACGATGAATTTAAGATTAAAATTGGAAATGATTTATTCATTTGAGAGTTAACTAAAACTGTTTTCTTGTAAAAATATTGTTTTAATCTGATAAAAACAAAAGATTAAATTAATCTTGAGATTAATAAAAAGATGAGATGAAGCATTGATCTCAATATCTACAATTCTAAAGTTTTCAGATCAGAGCTGAAAACTTTAGAATAATGAATATCGAGATTAATGCTTGATCTCCTCTTTTTCTTAATATCCAGATTAAATAATGATTGTTCTCCTCTTGTTATTTATCTCCAGATTAATTTACCTATCGGGATTAAGGATATCCCATTCTAAAGTTTTCAGCTTAGGTCTCATTCAGTTAATTAAGATACCCTAGTTTAATTATTGCATGGTCCAACAATAGTTTCACACGTCCAGTATCCTCTGGTCCAATCAGAGTTTACTCACGTGCTTAGTAAAGACCTTGCCGAAGATCTTGCAGCTGTCAATCATGTGACACAAGCTGTCGTTAGAGTTGGGTTGAAGATCGGGTCTTATAGTCAGATTTAAGGAATTACGGTTCGAACCGAAGTTTTTAAATCGCGGGCTTTGTAGAACTCAATGATTGGAACTGTAGCACTCAATAGTTGGAACCGTAGTTCTCAATAGTTGGAACCGTAGCATTCAATAGTTGGATCTGTAACACTTAATAGTTGGAACCGTAGCACTCAATAGTTGGAACCGTAGCACTCAATAGTTGGAACCGTAGCACACAATAGTTGGAACTGTAGTACTCAATAGTTGGAACCGTAGTACTCAATAGTTGGAACCGTAGCACACAATAGTTGGAACTGTAGTACTCAATAGTTGGAACCGTAGCACAAAATAGTTGGAACTGTAGTACTCAATAGTTGGAACCGTAGCACTCAATAGTTGAAACCGTAGCACACAATAGTTGGAACCGTAGCACTCAATAGTGAGAACGTAGCACACAATAGTTGGAACCGTAGCATGCCTTTTTTCCGTCCTAGTTTGATATTTATTGCATATTCATACAATTAAGGTTATATATAACATTCTTCTTATCTATATATCAATATTACATTCTTAATATATTAGATACTTTATCTTTATCTTATGATACAGAATCAAAAAATTTATACAGTGTTAACAAAAAATATGAAATAGGAAGACGACTTTACAGCAATAGTTAAGCGTAATAAGATGTTGTTACAGCGCAAACAGTTTTCAAACACTTATTAAATCACGCACTAATAATGTTAAATGTTTTTTTACGCTACAGAATATCTGTGTCCCGTGCTCATTTGATAATTTCAAATCATAACTTGAGTCAAAAAGCGCCTTACTATTTCAAAGTTGTTGGTTATCACTGTACAAAACAGAAATATTATTAAATAGGAATCCAGCATTGCCATCTTTGCATTGCGCTTATAGTCTTACTTTTCAAAGACAACTGTGGCCGGAGAAAAAGCCAATTTTTTGATCAGAATTTGAGCGAAAATGGACGGTACCTCTTTCCCTCCCAAATAAGGGAACAGTCCCTTTAAAGGGTGTTTAAAGAAAAATGCACATAATTACCTATGTCTCCAATTTCTGGTAGTCCCCCCTGATCTTCTGTTAATACCAGAATACCGGCTGAAAACCAAATTCAATTAGTCAAATAATGAATTAATTAATTGAATAATTAACTTATCTCTTATTGAATCAATCTAATTATGACATAGATAAATAAAGTAATTACTTTAACTCTCAATACTTACATCTCGGGATTTTTTATATTCATTTATTATTATTTAAAACTTAAATTCTTCAACTTTATGAAAAACAAAAAACTATTGAAAGATCTTTGATTTTCTATTTAAAAATTGATAACTTACAATTTCTGTTTTTACGTGATTTGCAAATTAACGCAACAAAAACAACGAAAAAAATTGACTAAACTCATCTCCGTTAGAAATAGATATCTTTCGTATGATTACTCAGGTATTAAAAATTCTTAAAGTTGCCAGAAATGTAACTTTTGAAATAAAGTGTTCCGCGAATACAATCATTTTACCCCCCCCCCCTCCCCTCCCTCTTTATCTTTCAAAAAAAAACTCAGATATTTATAAAGAAACAAATTAAAAAAGATTGCAATAAACCTGTGCCTAATGAACCAAAACATGGTGAAACTGTTCAGACTAAATATTACAAACAAACAAACCTTTTTAATGAAGCATTAACCTAAATTTTGAAAAATAAAAGTGGCACTAAAGTAATTTTAGATTTTGTAAAACACAGTCTTATATTTGATAGCTACCCGTCTCTAATATGTTTGCTACTGCTTTGTAGAGCTCTTTCTTGAAACTTCTTCAATTTAAACCATGATCTAAAAATAAAGGAATTGAGTATTTGCCACAAACGCTGATTTTCTAATCACGATATCTATGGAACCAAATGTTGTAGACCCTAGATATTTCAAACTATGATTTCTGTTTGATCAAATATTCTGAGCTTGAAATATCAAAGGTTTACAACATCAGGTTCTCAAGACATATTTGAGTTTGTGGCAAGAACTCATCTCCTTTCATTAGATTATTTTGTTCAGTGGATTTCAGGTTTAGAATTTAATTTTTTATACAAAAGGGACTGTTTACGTGAATATTGTAGCATACGTCATTGAACATGTGTTTGGATTTTTTAATGCGACAAACTTGATCTTGATATTCAAAACGGAAACTTTTGAATACAAGGTTATGGCTAAGATTAAGAACGGAATAAAAATTTTGTATAAAGACATCAAATTTTTTGATAAAAATTGCTCGAATGCATATTAAGAACTTTTAAAAAATGTGAATTTACAATTTACAATTTACAATTTACAAATTATTTTTCCCGACTTAAAAAAAATCATGGGTGATACATATGCAATATGCATTTACAATTTACAATTTACAATTTACAATTTACAAATTATTTTTGCCGACTCAAAAAAAATATTGATGATACTTATGCATTTACAATTTACAATTTACAAAACAAAAAAATAATCGCAGTTTACACTAATGCATTTTCAATTATCTGTTAATAATTCACAAAATATACATGTTTATTTTTCAATCTATTCACGTATGAAATATGAATTTACAAAAAGGTTGTAAATTTACAAATGACAAAGAAACATTAAACACATATACACTGGTCTCATATCGTGCCTGGTATCAAAAATCAACTTCTCTAAAGATCTAAGTTCTTTAAAATCGCTAATTACTGAAGGAGTTCAGATATTATTCTTTATTTTACTTTAACCTATGTTGCTTCTTATTTGCTACTTGTATAATAATCTTCAAATGCTAAAAGGATTTGACAACTTTGATGAAATAGTTTCAACATTATTTTAATTGTGAAAAAAAGTTTATTGTTGGATTTATTTATTTTGTAAAGATAAATTTTTATAATTTTAACCTGCCAGCATAGTCCCAGGAGCACCAGACAATTAGCAGGAAAATAGATAAAGAAACAAGATTACACACCACCAGAGCTAAACAGAGAATTTTTTACATTTAGTTTTTGTATTTTTGGGCTATAGAAGGAAATTATTTTTATAAAGGAAAATTAAAAATTATTAAGAAATAAAATTTCATTTGTGAAGCTTTATTAGACAGTGTCTAACTTTTGGAAAAAAGTTTTCTTTTCTTACCTAAGAGAACATTTTTATATGTATATGACAGAGAACAGGCAGATCTAGAAAAACAAAATGTTTTTTATTTTAATTAAAAAATTTTGTTTATCATTTTTACCTTTGGAAGTATTTAGCCAACCAATATACACCTAGGCAAACCCAGCACACTTCTAGTAACCATAAACCTGTAATAAATTCATGGGTATTGTGTATAGTTTACCTATCTGTACTATCTATGTTTCTATTATGAAACTTTAGAATTTTCAAACGTTTTTAAAGAAAATTATGATTTTGCAGCTATTTCATTGAACATACGAAGTTTACCAGGAAAATGGAACAATTTTTTGGACTTTTTACTAGATCTTAATCAAGGTGAATTTAAGTTTGATATAATCTGTATGCAAGAAGTTTGGACAATACCTAAATATTTCAAAACGAATATCCCTGGATATAAGCCTGTAGTACACAAACTGCGCAATCAAATGGATAATTTGTGTTCAACTGTAGGGGGAGGGGTAGCATGTTGNAAATAATAATAATAATAATGATAATCAATAAAACAAACTACTAAATAAACAATAAAAATGACAAGGAAAAGAAAATAATTACGTACCCTGCTTTATATAGATTAGATATTTCATCCCGGCTCTAGGGCGATCGTTGAAAACGGTTCCCCTGTAAAAAAAAATGTTTAATATTTTGGATCGACAATCAAATAATACGTTGCTTTATTTTTGATTGATCAACGTATCTAGAGGTCGAAAATGTTGTATAAAATGGGGGCTAATCTACACGCCTTAAATCTTTATCTTTGATGAAAAAATTTTATTTAGCTGTTAGCGTAAGTGACCCTCCATACTCAAGGGTATCGTTGTGAATCGGGCATTGCCATCTTTGCATGGAGGGTCAATTGTTATTAATATCACTGACTCGTATTTTCACGATCTTCCAATTGTGCATTGACCTTTAGAATTATCCAGTACTATGAACTAGACAGATGGTGAAGGTAAAATTCGTACGACATAACTAGTACGACTTTTTGACCTTGCAGCTCCTCTTGCTTCGATTTTATGCAAAAGTATAACAAAAGATATTTTTTGTTTACATATTAGAAATTAAAAACATTTTGGTTCTTCTCGATATCTCTTTAATTAGAGGAGCAATGTTTGAAAACAATTTACTTTAGTTAATAATTAGGATCATCACAGAATTAAACGATTAGTGCTTTATGAAAGGATTAACGATATAGGATTACTGCTTTATGAAAGGATTAACGATATAGGATTAGTGCTTTATGAAAGGATTAACGATATAGGATTAGTGCTTTATGAAATGATTAACGATATAGGATTAGTGCTTTATGAAAGGATTAACGATATAGGATTAGTGCTTTATGAAAGGATTAACGATTCAAAAGTTCCGAGGAATAAAAAACCATGCTTACCTAGCCGCAGTGAAAACTATGCATAATTCCAGGATTAAGCTGCCAGACCATAAACACAGATATCCAATCAGCTGTTCCATATATACAACCTGACACATTCATAACAGCTGTTCCATATATACAACCTGACACATTCATAACAGCTGTTCCATATATACAACCTGACACATTCATAACAGCTGTTCCATATTTACAACCTGACACATTCATAAGAAAAAATTTTACAACTGAGGATCATCGTTAGGCGTGAAACATTTTGTTTAGTTTAATTCTTTTTTAATAAAATGAAAAGTTTTCAAAAACTTATATACAATATATATACATTATATGCATATATTAAAGATCTGAAGAAAAAATCAAACATTTAAAAAAAAAAGAATTCTTATTTGTTATTGAGCTTCATAGAAGACAAAAACTTGGAACGTTTATAAAACGAAACACACTCCCCGATATCTACAAAATATAGTACGGTTTTGATAATAAAATAATAATAATCATAATAATATTAATAATAATAATAATAATAATAATGATAATGATAATAATGATAATAATAATAATAATGATAATAATGATAATAATGATAATAATGATAATAATGATAATAATGATAATAATACAACTACTACCACTAGTACTACTACTAATAATAATAACAATATAAACAACATTGATAACATTAATAATAACAATAAGATGGAGTGCTCGGCGTTGTCCGTGGAACTTAAAAAACGAATTTTTGAAGAAAAAAACCCATGGGTTCCCTCAAAAAATGTCAGCCAAATCGGTTGAGCCGTTTGGTCGGCTATATCTGACTGACATAAAAATATAAATGAGCGAAGAGCTTTATTATATTACACTAACAATATTTATAAAATTTTAAAAAACCTGGCATTTTTCCTTCTCATCTAATGTTGAAGTTGAAAGAAGAATACTAATGACCGTCAGCCTGTAAACACAATTATAAATATCAGCTGTTTGTAATTGTTTTGTTTGTAATTGTTTTGTTTCTAATAGAAATTGTTTTGTCTGTAATTGTTTTGTTTACTATTGTTAGGCTTGTAATTGTTTTGTTTGTAATTGTTTTTTGCTTGCTATTGTTTTGTTTGTAATTGTTTTGTTTGCTATTGTTTTGTTTGTAATTGTTTTGCTTGTAATTGTTTGGTTTGTAATTGTTTGGTCTTCATGAAGCTAGGACTTATACTGGTCCTAATAATCTGAAGTGACTTCCTCTTTTAAGAAGTTTGTTTTCTCGGAAAGAATTACCATATTGAATGTAGGGTAACTAGAATTACCACATTGTATGTAGGGTGGCTAGAATTACCAGAGCTGAAAACTTTAGAATGGATAGACTTTAATCCTGACTTCTTGATCCGAATATCCACTGTGGAAACTTTTCATTTTAGTCCTTAATCCACTAATTTTTCTCTCTCCTTGGATATCCGTTAATTGTTTTCTCCAATGAGAATATTTCTGTTCTCTCATTGGTTGCCCGCTTTTCTCTGATTGGCTGCTACAGTTTCTCAGATGATTAAATATTTATTTGAATTTTATCGTTTTTCATACACTTTTAAGATAATCTTGCAAGATTATGTTAATCTGGAGATTAAGAAAAAGAGTGGATTAAGTCTTAATCCCGATATCCACCATTCAAAAGTTCCCAGCTCTGATTGAATGTAGGGTGGCTAGAATTACCAGATTGAATGTAGGGAAGGCTAAAATTACCAGATTGTATGTAGGGGGCTAGAATTACCAGATTGAATGTTGGGTGGCTAGAATTACCAGATTGTATGTAGGGTGGCTAGAATTACCAGATTGAATGTAGGGTAACTAGAATTACCAGATTGTATGTAGGGTGGCTAGAATTATCAGATTGAATGTAGGGTGGCTAGAATTACCAGATTGAATGTAGGGTAACTAGAATTACCACATTGTATGTAGGGTGGCTAGAATTATCAGATTGAATGTAGGGTGGCTAGAATTACCAGATTGAATGTAGGGTGGCTAGAATTACCATATTGTGTGTAGGGTGGCTAGAATTACCATATTGAATGTAGGGTGGCTAGAATTACCATATTAAATATAGGGTGGCTAGAATTACCATATTGAATGTAGGGTGGCTAGAATTACCATATTAAATAAGCTAGAATTACCAGATTGTATGTAGGGTGGCTAGAAGGATTCCAGGAAGGAGAAAATCATCGCTTCCCAAAGACCATCGTCTGTTGTACATAACAAATCCCGGCATTTTTACTTATTTTACATTTCTGAAAATGATTAATTAAGGATTCCACTGTCTGTATTAAAAACAAACTTTTAAAAGACATTTTTACGAAAATTTAAGCATTTCTAATTATTAAAATTGGTTAAAGACCAATTGTTTATTAAAGAATAGTTTTTAAGATTTAAATAGGTTGATTGAACCGATTTAAAAGGAAAAAATCAAAAAAAATCGAACATTGTTTTTAAAAGAATAGTTATTAAGATTTAAATAGGTTAATGGAACCGATTTAAAAGGACAAAATAAAAAAAATAAAACTTTTGTATTGTGAATCTCTTGTAGACCTTAATTCAATTCTTATTTTGTGGCGACCGCACCCTGCAGCCGCAGGGATAATTTGAATCGAGTGGTCAAGTATTAATCCTCAATTTGAAAATGCCCACTTTAGATATTGAAATCAAACGTTCAAGATTATTGATCATTTACAAAGATTTCAGGTTTAAATCTAAAAAAAAAAATTATACTCTTAAAGAAATTTTAGAGAATAATATTTATATAAATGGGTGGAATTCCATTCCGGTTTTAAAGCTTCATTGCATTTAATCAACTAAATTATCGTATAGTTTTAGCTTTTTTTGGATTTGGCTATTTTGCTCTTAAATCTATAATCTGCGAAAAATAGAAAAACGCGATAAACAATTTTTGTTAAGAAAGTTTCATCATTTTTGAGCTCAGAACTATTTAATCCAAGAAATGTGGGCACTATGAGTATTTTTAAAGAGAAGAACAATATCTTTAATTTAAAAGTACTGTGAGAACCAGAAAACTCTAGAAAAGTAAGACTACCTTTAGCATTAAGTTATGACTTGTAACATTCCAATAAACACGAGGAACATAAATTTTGCATTGTATGTACCTTAACAAGTGAACTAAAAAAAGCATCTTTTGTAATAACATCAAATACACTTTAGTATTGCTATAAAGTCGTCTTCCTATTTAAGAGTTTTCTGGTTCTTACTGTACATTGTAAACATAGAGAATAATATATATATTAGAGTGGAATTTAGCAGAAAAAAGTGTTGTACTGTTTCCATACTGCAGGTGTACTTTGCATATTTGCGCTATATTACCTTTTTGGCCCTGGAACATCATTTTATAGAAAATCTAAAATTAATATTAAAAGAAACCCAAATTATGAAATAGGCTGGTTTCATAATTGACCAATGATTATTTCAAATAGACACGTAATAACTATAAATCAAATGATGTTTTTTATTCACCTAATTCATTTTATAAAGTTTATTTAACAGCTTTAAACAATTCAAAATTGAAATGGATAGTCTAGGGAACATACTGTATTAATGTACTCTACTGCACAAAATTTGTAAACATTTACATGATTTGTACACTTTGAACTCCCTTTCAGGCTGAAAAGGACTGACAAAATTCATACCGAGGGATTGTCTAAACTCCACTATAATATATATTCTATTCTCTATGTAAATTTTGTCAAAAGATGCAGTTTAGAAATTCAAAATATGTGTAAAGCTTGTAAAAGTATAATGTATATAATAAATCGAATGATTACTTAATTTTCACAGTCCCTTCTTCAGAGCCCGAAATTTAAAAGATAGCGTTGAATGAAACTTTTGAGTTTTATGTAGATTTTGATTTAAGAGATTCGAAAAGAATTAAAAATTTTAACAAACTGAATAAAATAATATTTCATATCAAAGGTAAAGATATTCACAAAACTGCCTAATCCCATTTGCGAAACTCGGGTTTTAAAACTGGTTTTCAGAACGATACCTTGTCTCAAGGCACTAATGCAAGGAAAGTTATTTCAGAGGTGTATGCATCTTTTGTACTGCAGCGTACTCTCTTTGGGCGGTAATGTAAACACAAGACCGATGTCTTAAGTTTTGGGCTCTGGTTACAGTGTACACAATCTTTATTGGGAAATATAGAAGTACAATACGCAATTAAAGATCGTTGCCAATAATTTCAGTTTCCAGTATTTACTGTTGAGAAGAAAATCGATTTAAGGGAAACCCCACACAATCATCTCTCCCTATTCAGCAGCTAATTTTCATTATATTATATATTCTTTATATACCCCCCACCATACTGCTTTTTATAAAAAAAAGTTCATTAAAAATAAGAACAATGAATCAAGAACTACTGTCATATATGACAACAAATCTTACGAGAGGATAACATTTCTCCAAAAATAATATTATTTCTACTTTTTCATTAAAATAATATTTATTTGTAAATATATTAGAAGGCTGATAATTCTTCGTGCCCTTATTACTAGTAATAATCTATATACTTAGTACTGATAATAATAAGAACAAAGTTCGCAGATTATTTTGTTTTCTTCGGTAGATTTTCAAAATAATTTCATTTCGATTTTTATTTTGGATCGAACAATTTTTGGTCCCTATCGTTTTAGTCGTTTCTATGGTAATCGCATGCAAACAAACACCCCAATACAAATATATTAAGGAGAGGATCTAAAGTTTGACGAAAGTTTAATGCATATCATTAATGTTTTCTAAATTAAACTTATTTGCATAAAGAGACTGTTGAGTGTTGATGAAAAATGAAAAGGGGAATGTTCTGAAGCCTTAAAAGTTTAGGCGTTGATCGCGACCAATAATATTTCTATCTGATGTCTCTGTACCGAGAAATTAAATAAATCTGTGTCCCCTAGTAAAACGAAAACTTTGATCGACGGAGCCAGATTCTGCAGTTTTAAATCCAAATCTCGAGACAGGGCAGAGATAAGAGAGTTACAGAGATCGATTATCAGCTAAAATAGGCAATATTTTTCACAGCATGTTCTATTGTGTACAAGTACTGTACACGACCAATCAGCAAACATCTGTATTCAGGGATATTTAAGGATCCTTTGGATACGAAACACAAAATTTTCGAAAAAAAAGACTGAATTTATAAATGTCATGTTTTATGTTTAAAATTGGAGTATTTCTTTAAAAGTTGTGAAACAAGTGGCCGTGAGATGACACTCTAAAAACCTATCGTAAAGCCGTAGCATGTCGTGCCGGGTCAACTTAAGCCTATGTAGCCCACCCTGTGAAAGGAGATAAGCAGTCTGTGTAGTCTGTGAGACAGGGATATCAAATAGAACTAATTTATAGATGGGCACGATAGACTTTTTTTTCATTTTGTTCGTACATCGTTCGTGAACGGCCCATTTTGTTCGTTCAAAAAAATGATTATGTGTGTTCTCAAATTTATCGTTAATTTTCCATTTTATTCGTTTTGTCACTGAACGATCGTTCAGTAAAATCTTTCGTTCAATAAAATCGTGTGTTCAGTAAAGAACTATAGTTTGTCCCATAACATCGTTTCTAATGGACCAGGGAAAGCAAATTTTCGTTTAAGTCCGCGCAAATTTGCAAATGTTCGCAGTTTAATGCTAAAATGAATTTTGCACATACGCAAAAATTGCGAGAAAAAGTGTTACAATAAAGTTCAAATCTCTAATATAGTTTTGTGATGCAAATAATGGCTATTTATAGCATTTTTAATTTTTGCGCAAATTTATTCGCGGAATTTTACACAAAATGCGCAATTTGCCCGCGGCGATTTTTCTATTCTGCTGGAGACCTTAATTGCTATCCCCTACTTGCAAATTACTTTTTCATGTTATGTTGTTTTTGTAAATAAAGCTTTTACATAATATCAATGTTTTTACAAGAAAAACAAACAATAAAACTTCTGAAATAATTTTTAGATTTTTCATTTCTTTTCTTAAAAAAATGCCTGAGATTTCGATGTATTTCAATATCTTTTATTTAAAAATTTTTGGGCTCATCTAGCTTGTTGTAACATTGTATTAAGTTTTAAATTTTTTAAATTTTGATTTAAGAATATCACTAGCTGAAAAACCCCGGCGTTGCCCGTGAAATATTAAAAACACTAAAACATTAAAAAAAACAGTGAATAAAAATCTAATCTTGAAAAAAATAGTTTCGAATTCTTTTTCCTATATGTCAGTACCCAATATCCATGTGTTTCCTTAAATAATTTCAGCTAATTTGGTCCAGCCGGTTAGCAAGTCATAGCTAATAACATATATATATGAGCGAAGAGCTTTATTTTATAGATTTGAGCATAATCAAGGAATATACCACTCAGAAGTCACCCTTTCATGTAAACAAAGATATTCCCTGTACATTCCTTGACCTGAAGTAAATTTTCAAATATGTTTAAAGGGACTGTAAGCGCCATTTCAAGTAGTTCTCCTTTCTCCATGCAAAGATGGCAATGCCTGTTTTTACAACATTAACCTTTAAAGCGTTGTCTGATCAAGGATGAACTTGATATCTATGTTTATAATTTTAGAATATAATTTTTTCAATTTCAGGTTTTTCTATAACAGTGACTTGCGCATTTATTCTGCAGAAAAGAATTAAAACACTTTAAATCTGGAAAAACGACAATATCTTCCACATTACTGATCAGATAAAGGTTTTAAGGGTACCGTTGTCAATCGAGCTCTCTGCATTGCCACCTTTGCATCGAGGTTCACTTGAAATTACACTTACAGTCCCTTTCAGTTTGTTGTTTTTTTTGTGTTAGCCTGTGGAAAAAAATGCCAACTCCACTTTATACTTTATCAGCTTCAATATGCTGCTTCAATCTATTACAAACTCTATCCTCACTACCTCTATAGGTATATACGGTCCATAAATAACAAGAGTCTGTGTTGAACTATCTATATTTTGATATATAAAGGTGCAGGTAAATAAGTTGACCGCAACTAAAAATAACTTATATTTGAGAGTTACAAAGACACAAACAAAATAAAAGGGTTTTATATCACAGGCCTCTTAATTAATTGATATTAATCATACAATTGACCCCCCCCCCCTCCCCACCCTTTAAAATCGTTTCTTAAGATAGAAATTATCAATTTGAACTTGCTGATTGAATTCTCGAAATCCCGGATTAAAAACGAATCCTTTTTGTAAAATCCTTTAATCCTAAAAGTTTTTAGATGAAAATCTTAT